AACAGCTTGCATTGGTACAGCACCTTTCACATAAAATGTCTCACAGAAAAAAGTGGATACAAAATTAAGTGAATCTTGTTGTACAGGTAAACACGTCAGCTAATCTGCACCGGCGATATCTCATAAACAACACTTGCACTTATATATATAGCATCTTTAATACAGCTAAATCTTACAGAGATTCAAGAGGGAATGGGAGCCCAAGCGGGGTGGGAGATAAGAAGAAAATAGTGCGATAACTGAAGGCACAGTAAAGAAGGTACATTATTTGAAGGGTTATGAAAGTGGAAAGGGAGGGTGTGAGGCAGCAGGACTTAAGAAGAATCCAAGGTTGACTGGAGCGTCACACAGACAGACACATATACACTGGGGTTTAACATGCAGCGATTTGAGGAATTCCTCAAGAAGGAAACCCAAAATACATCAGGTCAAACCACAGAAACTCTGCTCTGATGTGATCTACATTCGGACTGAGTTTCCTTCCAAGGCCCAGAGTCATAGAATTCTACAGCTCAGAAGGAGGCCATTCAGCCCCTTGTGCCTGAGCTGGCTCTTTGAAAGAGCTATCCAACTAGTCCCCACTCCCCCGCTCTTTGCCCATAACAATTTAGCATTCCTTCCCCATTCCCCGCTAAAATGTACTTCCATTAGATATTAAGATAGGGAATTCAGGAGTAAGGAGGCAAACTTGTGAAAAAAAATATAGAGACGGACCTGAGGAATGTAGAGAAGATGGTGAAAATACAGGTGAGGCAGCCAGGAATGATGGAGATCAAGGTGCAGAGGAATATAGAGAGAATGCAGATGGAGGCAATTGAGGTTGAAGGGATGGGGTGGATTGAGGTTAGCTTCATGATGGAGTTTAGATCAATGATGAAGAGGATGGCAATACTGGTGAAAATGGAAGTGGAAACATTAGCAGCAATGGAAATCAGCAGTGATTCACTGGGGATTTTTTTGGATACGCAGAGCAATGAAGTTGGATATTTTAAAGTGGAGATTATGGTAGAGATGGAAATCACAGTGGAGGTGAATAAACAGGGAGCGATGGAGATGGAAACACAGGGGAGATGGTGATGGAAATGGGAGAGATGGAGATGGAAACAGAAGAAGAGATGGAAACACAGAGAGTAATAGTAATGACACAAGTGATGGCAATAGCAACATGCGAGCACTGATGATAGAGATGGAAACACATTAGTGATGGAGATGGAAACATGTTAGTGATGGTGATGCGAACACACGAGCAATGGTGATGGAAATGGAAACACACCAGTGATGGTGATGGAAACACGCTAGTGATGGAGGTGGAGATGGAAACACGCTAGTGATGGTGAAGGAAACACGCTAGTGATGGTGATGGAAAGACGTTAGTGATGGAGATGGAAACACGCTAGTGATGGAGGTGGAGATGGAAACACGCTAGTGATGGTGATGGAAACACGCTAGTGATGGTGATGGAAACATGCTAGTGATGGAGGTGGAGATGGAAACACGCTAGTGGATGGAGGTGGAGATGGAAACACGCTAGTGATGGAGATTAGTGATGTAGATTAGTGATGGGGACACACAAGCAATGGTGATGGAGATGGAAACACGCTAGTGATGGTGCTGGAAACACGCTAGTGATGGAGGTGGAGATGGAAACATGTTAGTGATGGTGATGGAAACATGCTAGTGATGGAGGTGGAAACATGTTAGTGATGGTGTTGGAAACACGTTAATGATGGTGATGGAAACATGTTAGTGATGGAAATAGAAACATGTTAGTGATGGAAACACACTAGCGATGGAGATGGAAACACACGAGTGATGGAGATGGAAACACGCCAGTGATGGAGATGGAAACACGCCAATGATGGAGATGGAAACACGCCAGCGATGGAGATGGAAACACGCCAGCGATGGAGATGGAAACACGCCAGCGATGGAGATGGAAACACGCCAGCGATGGAGATGGAAACATGCCAGCGATGGAGATGGAAACACATTAGTGATGGAGATGGAAACATGTTAATGATGGTGATGGAAACGCACTTGTGATGGAGATGGACACGCACTAGTGATGGAGATGGACACGCACTAGTGATGGAGATGGACACACACTAGTGATGGAGATGGACACACACTAGTGATGGAGATGGACACACACTAGTGATGGAGATGGACACACACTAGTGATGGAGATGGACACACACTAGTGATGGAGATGGACACACACTAGTGATGGAGATGGGCACACACTAGTGATGGAAATGGACACACACTAGTGATGACAATGGACACACACTAGTGATGATGCTAATGATGGCGATGGACACACACTAGTAATGGAGATGGACACACGTTAGCTTTGGAGATGGAAAAATAGGGAAAATGGAGATAGAAACATTGAAGTGATGGAGAAGGAAACAAGAGCGATGGAAATGGAATCACAGGGTTGATGGAGATGGAGGTTACAATGGAGATACAGGATTATGGATTAAGATAAAGTCAGAGCTCTACATAAATTCTGCAAGTATTTTACAGCCATGTGAAATACAAAGTATTTCAGAACTATTGCACCATTGGATTTGTTTGTTTTAAAAAACTTTGGATGTTTGCCAGATGGACTGCAATGGTCTCTCCCAGTCCTGCACATTCCTATGTACAATAGTAAGACTGTACAACAGCCAAGACATTTTATTCCCAGTTGCTCACTATCAAAACCCAGGTAAACAGCCAAGTCCCATAGAACAACACTACACTGATGTACCTATCAGCGTGAAAATGTACCATTTAAATTGTTGCTCTGAGCTGTAAATTATGTTGGAGTAGAAAATCTTAAGGTAAGTAGCATTCTAACAGCATCACTAAGAGTAAGTATAGTAACCTGCATCTAAAATCATAAACACATTCAACTGTTGTAGCTATCACATAGACAGACTACGTAGTGGAGTCCTGTAGTGTATCAGTTATAACATTCGCCTCGCAAGCGAGAGGACCTGGGTTTGATTCCCAGGCAAGGCAAAACCTCAAGCAGGTTTCCTTACGCCACACACCTCTGTTTACCTAGCAGTAAGTAGGAGTCTGGTTGTTGAATGGCAGATCGCTTTCTGGGGGTAATAATCCCTCCCTCTAAAAATAAATAATTTGGTCACTCAATGCACAACTGTTTGTGGGACACTGCTGTGCTCAATTGGCTGCCACGTTTTGCCCACGAAATATACAGTCAATTAACTTTACAGTATATATTGTGAAGCGCTTTGGTGAGACGTCTCAATGACGTGATACGGCTCTATATCAAATGTAAGGGTTGTTATTATTGTTACAATATAGTGCACAAACACATTGGATAAAGATTGTTTACGTTATTCAGATTACTTATGACGCAGACTCACCGGCATTTGACAAGGTGAAGCACACAACATAAACCAGGGGATGCAGCAGAGAATTGGGAATAGAGAGTGGGGCTCCGATGAGGCAGCTGGAACCAAGTCAGGGTAAATTACAAGCACACCATAACTGAGATGTAAGGAAGGGGGGGGAAGGAGAGGAACCTCCTAACCTGTAATTCTTTCTCCATGAATCCCTTACTTTGGTACTTGATTACAGACATTGATCCAATGAATTGATCTTTGATAATGAAGCAATGAAGAAATGGACTGCTTGGACTGAAACCAATCTGCACAGCCTTTTGTTGGTATAAGACTTAGAATAACAACAACAACTTGCATTTATGTAGCGCCCCTATGCAGGGTAGTGTCCCAGAGCGCTTGACAGTGGTGGAGCACAACTCTGAGTCCGAGGAGAGGGGAGAGATGAACGTAGGCACGGTAAAAGAGGACCTGAAGATGGGGAAGAAAGGGGCAAGGCGGAGGGATTGTTGACCAAAGAAAAAAAATCATAAATACCCAGCAGATATTGCTATTTCAGTTATCCCAGATTGTCCCATTGCACCCCATTTTTATGGTGTTGAGGGAGAAGAAGTGTCTCACACCAAATCTCAGGATCCTTTCCCTTCAGGGAGTCTACCTCAAAGACCACTACAACAATCAGTGAAGCAAATTAGAATTTTGATGGCATCTTTGGATGTCAAAGCATCTCATTGTGCTTCACCATGTGATGTTCTGTGACTTGCTTGTAGGCAATTATGGCAGTCATTTCATGTACGCCAAAGTAACCTAAAAAACAACATTTATATAGCGCTCATCATGTAGGATGATACGGATAATGATAATAATCCTTGTATTTTATATAGCGCCTTATCACATTGTTGACGCATCTCAAAGCGCTTCACAGAATGTACTCTAAAGTGGATTGACTGTATATTTTGTGGGTGAAAAGCGGCAGCCACTTTCGCACAGACAACCAATTATCTGGGAGATCATTGTTAGGACACTCCCTTCTCTTTTCATGTCATGGGGTCTTTAACATTCATCTGAAGAAAAGGGCCTTTGCCAATCGAGCACTTCCCCAACATTGCACTAGAGTTAGTTTAGATGCTAAGCTCACGCCCCAAAGTGGGGCTTGAACCCACAACCTTCTGAGTCAGCGGTGAGAGTGTTACCGACTGAGCCAGGCTGACTGTCTAGCATTGACTAAGGTTGGGATGTGAGGGTAGGGACTTTAGGAACATAGGAACATTCATCCCCTTGAGCATGTTCCGCCATTTGATTAGATCATGGCTGATCCAATTCACAACATAGAAGGGAGAAGGTGCTTCAATTACTCAGTAGCCCCCTGATCCCTGACACACACACACACACACACACACCGAACACACAAAACATTCAGGCTCCTAGGCATTAAAATATCCTCAGAAATGACCACGTCCATTATGCAGCCATTGAGCCCAGTCTCTGTTGCTCAGTGTCTCTCCTTTTGATGATGCAGTAACACTACGAGGGAGACTGATTCTTTGTATAATACTTTTTTTGTTTAAAGTACGTTAATGCTCTACTAGTTCTATGCACAGGCTGGCTGACTGTCGGCAGAGTGGCTGATGAACACGGCCTAGATTAGAAAGTGTATTGGGAGACGTAGATGATGACTTTTGAAACGTGCTTCGTGAGTATCGTTTTTCCGGAGAGTTCCGTCATCTCCATCTCGACCTCCAAGGTGGCGGGGCCCTGGACGGGATGTACGAGAACCAGCTCTCCCGTCTGCCTGTCAGAGCGCTGGATGGTGAAGTGGCCCTGCCCCACCCCGCCCACGATGCTGAATCGGATGGTGTCCCCGTTGAATCGGCTGGTGGTCATGCGGAAGAGGGCTCGGGGGGTCTTGAGGTTGGAGGTGAGGGTGAGGTAATGGTAGGTGATGGAGTACGCGGCGTTCGCGCACAGCTTACTGTCCATGTGACAAGGATTCCTCTCACATTTGCTGGGGAGACACAAACATTAGGAATTTAGGATAATTCCCAACACTGGACACCTTCTCCTTTCCTCTCTATCAATGGTTTAGCTCAGGTTCCGGAGCCGGGGGGGGGGGGGACAACAGATCATTGGTGACATCACCTCCCATCGCTCTCCTCGCTTTACCTGGGTGGGGTCGGGGGTGGGGGGGGTCGTGGGGGCGAGATGGGGGAGGGTGTGTGGTGTGTGTATAGGTGTGTACATGTAGCACGTGTGCATATTTGTGAGTGTGCATGGGTGCGAGTGTGTGGCGTACTGTGGTGTGGGTGTCCATGTGGGTGTGCATGTGGGTGTGGGTGTGTGTCGGTGGGTGTGCGTGTGGGTGTGCGTGTGGGTGAGTTTGAGGATTTTGTGATATTCAGTCACTAAAAAGCTGATTGACAGAGAAAGGCTCTCTCTGACATCATCAGACGACAGTAACCATGTCTGAGGGTCATTACTTACAACTGGGACGTCTTCACGTAGCTGGCATTGAAGCGAGATTTCGGGCACTCCGGTCGGACACAGTAAAACCCTCCGTGGTTGTTAATGCAGGACTCCTCCCTGCTGCAGTTGTGCTGGCCGCTTGAGCACTCGTTAACATCTGCCAATGCAGGACAGTCAAAAAAATTACCGTAGAAATCACAAGCACAGGATCGCAACCTCTTTGTCTTGGGCTTTCTACTCCCCTCCAGTTTCACAGTGCAGGATAACCTTTTAAACTAAACAAAGTGTTTTTTTTTACCCCTTTAAAGTGGAAAGAGAATCCTCAAGTCAGTCAGCCGTTGTCAACCTCACAGCTGCCCCAGGTTATTGGGTTATAACTTTGTTTAGTCAAGCGTGATCACATTGCATCAAATCCATTGATTAGTTAATAAACAGGTACCAATGAAGCCCCAGCTTTTTCCTGAAGGGGCCACTGCGTGGAGGTAACAACTGAATGTAATCGCTGGATGTCTCACCATCGCATCCTCGTCCTTCCTCTTGCAAAGTGTACCCTGGGGGGCACGTGCAGCGGTATGACCCGGGGGTGTTCACGCAGGCGTGGGCACACAGGCGAGCCTGCCGCTCTCTCTGAAACAGCTCACATTCGTCTACATCTGAAAGAAAGAGTCACTTTTTTGTTCCATCGAGCAGTTCCACAGTGCGCAATTGGGTGTCGCTCTTCACCCACAAAATACACAGTCAATCCACTTTACAATCTATTCCATAAGCGCTTTGAGACGTCTCAATGACGTGATAATGCAAGGATTATTATTAGGTTATCCGTGACTTTTCAGATAAAGTGTTCAAAAACAACAATTATATTTACGTTTATATGATAAGTTTCACATTAGGAGGACATCCAGCACTGCTTGACAGTCCTGGCTAGGCACCCGGAGCTAGGATGAGAGGCGAGAGGAGGGGAACGATGACCCAAAACGGTTCTTTAACATCCACCAGACAGGCAGACGGGGTCTTGTATATCCTGTACGTCTCCACCAAAAGACAGCATCTTGGACAATGCAGCACTTCCCCAGCTCTACACTGGAGTGTCAGCCTGGACTAAGCTATGGAGCGAGCGACCAATTTTATTTGGGGGATTGTTGCCCAGGACACCGGGAGAGAGAAACTCCCTTCTCTTTTCGAATAGCGCCGTGGGATCTTTAACGTTCACCTAAACAGGCAGTTGGGACCTCGGTTTAACGTCCGAAGGACGGCACCTCTGGCAATGCAACACAAGCCCCAGCACTGGATGAAGTGTCAGCTTAGACTATGTGATTCCATGTCTCGATGTGGGGTGAAAACCCATAAGCTCCTGATTGAGAGACAAAGTACAGTAGCTGGAGAGCAGTGATTTGTAATGAACGAGCAGGTATGACGTTTGGCAGCTCCAGCAATGTGTCGGGGTGGTGGTTTGCAGTACCTTTGCAAAGCCTGACCTCCCTGCCGCTCAGGTGGAATCCCGGATCACAGCTGCAGTGCTGGGAACCTTGGACACTGGTGCAGCGAGGCTGGCGGCTGAAGGATGGGTCGCTCCGTGTTGTGGTCCAATCTGTGGTCAAACACATCGCACGTTTACATTGTCAGTGCAGGACTTCAAACTGCGCTCACTCACATGCCCACCCACACAGACACGCACACAAACACACACAACTGAGAGGCTGACAGCCAGCTAAAGGCTGCATAGCTTGCATCAAGAGCACTACCTGGCAAGCTTTCCCAATGCTTGTCCAGCTAGGGCCATCCTACCCATGAGGGCTTTGGCTTGCAGGGTTAACATGATCTGAGTGGGATGATTCCCAGTAACTGGTCTACCCTTCCAGGTCCTGCCAATGAGCCAGGCTTGCTGCGCTCGCTGTCAACAGCAGTGCCCTGGAGTACTGCAGATCCGCCTGACTCAGGAACTGAACTGGAGACTACCCAGAGGGCTGGCTTGATTCTGACTTACCGTTGCCAAACCTGTCACCTAGAGCCAATTCAGCTCCAAGGAGGAAAGACAGAGACATCAGCAAAACAGAAACACATAGGAAACGGATAGAGACACATAGGACAGACATACAAATAAAAAAACACGGAAAGAAGCACACAAAACCGCCTTCTCCTGTGATTGGAGCAGCAGAATTCAGAGCGATTCACCCTGGCTGAACCCAGTTTTGTGGGATATGGGTTACGGCAATGAGCTGCACAATACAAACACAGTTTGAGAGAAAGGTAAAGGGAAAGAGATGTGATGGAGGACTCACAGAGCAGGGCACAGGATTAGTTTGTGTTCATTGAGTCAAAAGGAATCAGACCAAAGCGATGGTGTAAAAATGTGCCCGCACGTCATCGCACAGCAAGGACAGACCCTCACGGCCAGAGAAAGCAGCAGTTACTGCTTGAGACAGACCATATAACGAGCAGTTGAACACACATTGGAACATGTGGCCAACACATTCAAGGGCGTTTGGCTGAGACGGGAACTTTGTGGAGTGCCATTGGTTTGTGGTGGGAGACTTCTAACCTCACAATGCTACAGGGTTGTGCCAGAACAATATGGCTTTTAAATTTTACATTATTACCATCGCTTGCTCGTGGGAATAATAATAATAATCTTTGCATTTGATATAGTGCCTTAACACGTCGTTGAGACGTTCTCAAAGCGCTTCACAGTATATATTGTAAAGTATGGGCCAATTGCGCACAGCAGTGTCCACAAACATTCGTGGATTGAGTAACCAAACTGCTATTTTTTGGTGGTGCTCATTAGCTTGTTGCAAGTGCCCAATTACCACAGGGCTGGAATCCAAACAAGCCTGATCCGAGTTCAGACCTGGTAAGCTCCCCTGTTTGAGGCACCTTTTTTTAAACGAGTCACACAAAGCACGCTCCTTTACACATACGTTGAGCGCCAATAACCATAGAAAGCCGGCACAGGCACAATGGGCCAAATGGCTTCCTTCTGTGCTGTAAAATTCTATGATTCTAAAGCCGGCAAATGGTTTATCCCCGTCATACCCCCACACACGTTGCTTGCTGGATGCACGGAGAGACAAAGGCTGCAGGTGGTTAGTACTCAGCTGAACCTGTCTGTGCAGTGGGTACGATGCACTTTCTGTTGCTGTAACTGATCTCTGGGCCTGAGGAATGCCACTCATTTTGGAAAGAAAACAGGGGCCTTATTATGTTGCTGTCTCTGGCGATACCATGAGAGGAAATCAGCTCAAGCAATCGAGACTGTTGTTAGAGACAGGAATTGTGTTCCAGAGTGGAATAGTACTGCCGCACCTGCCTGGCAAAAGTTCCAAATTCCCACGGAACACATTTCTTAAAGGAGAAACCACCTCTAACTAGCCTCAGTGCCTGGGTTAGGGAAACAGAACAACAACAAATTACATTTGTTTTACGCCTTTCATGTCAGGAGGATGTCCCAAGGCACTGGACAGTCAAGGATTTGGACAAGAGCTGGGATCAGGAGGAGTGGAGGGCTGAAAAGATAGGTTAGAACGGTAACCAAAGGCGCAGTCAAAGAGGAGAGTCTTGAGACGGGCTTTGTCTCAAACTTAAACTCAGCCAGATAGCTTCCGAGAGTTTGAGAGTCAGTGTGTTTATCATAGTTAGATTCTATTTAAAGAGAGAAAGAAGTTTCTCCTGGTATCCTGGCCAGCATTCCCTCAGAGTAAAATTGATCATTCACTTCAGGGCTATTTGCTTTGAGCAAAATTGGCTGCTGCATTCCTCTACAAAATACAGTCACTACACCCTACACTAAATCCTGTGAAGCGCTTTAAGACGTCCTCCCAGTGTGTAAGGTGCTATACCAAATTGCGAGGATTATTATTTGTGTTAGCTTCTGGTCACTGCTAGACTCTACACAACTGTTGTACTGGAGAGTAGTTGGCACCCATCACCCAGTAGGTTTCAGCACTTTCGAAAGAAGGGGGAGAGGGGGAGAAGTTAAAGCTACAAACAACCTCATTGTCATCTTAAAATAGACAGGAATATCACGCTGTTAAACTCATACATAGTAAGACCTGATAACGCACTGAGGTGCAATGGACCAGGAAAGTTAAGCAGATCAGACCACAGCCAATTCACAGCTTGTGTTGCTCAACCTTTCATGTTGTATATTACAGCTCCTATATATGGTGTATAGAATGGCTGTACAGGGAGCTCAAGGGATACGATATGGAGAAAAAGGCAGAAAATGTGTTTAAAAGATCTGCCGCGAGCAAATATAATGGGGGAGCAGGTTGGCTGGGCTAAAGGAGCTGGTCCAGTCCTTGTTCCTAACAGTACTGGGTTTCCAAACATCTCCAATCTTCCATTGCCAAACAGTGGACTTGAGCTTGCACTCAACGGTCCAAACCTCTTGGTCTAGGTAACACTATCTTGCCAGACTTACGTGAAAATAAAGCATGGTCACAGTTGTAGCCAACCCAACCAGGAGGACAGAGACAAGCGTATCGGTTAATGTCATCCACACAGGTGCCACCGTTCTTACAGGGATTGCTCGAGCACTCGTTTATATCTGGGGAAGGAAACGGAAACAATAATAATTATTTATAATAATCCTTGTCTCATGAGATCATTTTATCTGTAATCAAGGTTGGCTGTCTGCTCAAATTGCCCATGGTTAGGGTTGGTGCAAATCATTAATTTGCAGTCATTTATAACAACAACTTGCATTTATATAGCACCCCCTTCACCAAGTTAGCGTCCCAGAGTACTTGACAACAGCCAGTTGCGTACAGCCATGTCCCACAAACAGTGAGTGACCAATTTTAGTTGTGGGATTGTTGGCCAGGACACCAGGAAAAACTCCCTTGTGTTTTCGAATAGTGTCATGGGAACTTTAACGTGCACCTGAACTGGCAAATGGGACATGGATTTAGTCTTTCATCCAAAGGATGGTGTCTCTGACAATGCAACACTCACCCCCACCCAGCACTGCTTTGGAGTGTCAGCTTGGACGATGTTGGAACTGTGGACTCTCTACTGCATACCAGTTTGGCTCAGTAGTACTCTCCCCTCTGGGTTTTGTGGGTTTAAGCCCCACATAGATAAAAGCTGATACTGCAGTGAGGTATTGAATGATCACTGCATTGTCTGAGGTGCCATTCTTTGTATAAAGCATTAATCCAATGTGCCGTTGCCCTAATACTGTTATTAGCCAGCAATCTGCCAAAGAAATCAAACATTTACTTTGTGTTTGTTTGTGGGACCTTGAAATTGCAATATGGCTGCCAGGATTGACTTAAAAGTGGTCACTAAACTTGAAAGTAATTAGCTGTGAAACTCTTTGTAATGGTTTGATGTGATAAGACGCTATAAAACCAAGCAATGATGAATGGGAAACCCAAACAAGGAGAGGTCTCCTGTATCAGCACTTCATTCTTGTCTCAGAATGCAAGAGGCTTTGGTTCTGTTTGAAACTGCAGCAAGTATCTGGGGGATTGTTGACCTGGAAACCGGGAGAAACTCCCTTCTCTTTTCAAATAGTGCCATGGGATCTTTAACATCCACCTGATCAGGCAGGCACTAGCACTAGCCCTGCGCCAGGCTAAGTCACGCAAGTTATTATTATTATTAGTAGTAGTAGTATTAGTATTATTATAATATTCGGATGATTATAATGGTCAGGACCGTGCACAACTGCTGTTCAAATGTTGGTACAAAAAGCAAAAAGAGCTCTGGGTGCTGCATGAGAAGCACCGTATAAATGCAAGTTGATGTCGTTGAAGGGTCACTTACTCTTACAGAAGGGCTGCTGTCCGCTCCATTTCTTGTTGTCCTGGCACACTCTGGTGTCCATCCCAACCAGCAGGAACCCGGGGTCACACGCAAAGTGCACCTCATGGCTCACGCTGTACTTGTTTCCAAACTTCTTGCCATTACTTGGGACATTGAGTTTGGGGCAAGTCTCTGCAAAACAAACAGGGAGGGCAAAGAGCAAAGGAGAACCGACGAGGAGTGGTTAGTGGAGACACTGCTCCACCATCAGGTCGCTGGTCCACGAAATACATAGTCACTACGCTTCACGGTAAATGCTGTGAAAAGCTTTGGGCACCTGACATGAAGGGGAATAGGCCAGGGCTAGAGGGGGCTCAGCCAAATCTATCTACAGTCATTTCTTAAAGGGGAGCTGGGATCACTGTAATGGTTTGGGTTGGATTCCATAAAAACCTGAATCTCAAGTAATGGAGCAAGTTCTCTTATGGAACAAAGCGAATGTTTATAATCCTGCTCAAAGCCCAATTTAATTGATTAATCTGATTTAAGTACGTTTTGGGCAGAGTCTTGATGTGTTGTGCGCCCATCGAGGAATCTGCTTTAAATTTCTGATCCTTGTCTAACCAGCCCTTATAACCTGGAATTATGTTATAAGGAGCAACCTCCTGCCACATACCGACTCCTATGGTGATTATCAGGGTTGGTTTCTTCATCGTGCTCAGTTGCCTTGTGCTGACCCATTTAAGAAGTGATTCCCTGCTGGGTAATGATGCTTTATGAAACATAAGCCACCAAATTGCTGACCAAATAACACATCATGCCTTGTGGTGGCCCTAACGGAAGCGGTTTACTTCCTTTAATCCTCCACAATCCCCATCATGTATTTTTCTTTAATTCCGCAAATCCTGACAATCCAGTTTATTGGAAAATAATAGTTCCTTTGGGTTTTTTTGGAAAGGTTTCGGCAACGCCTACTGTCACCCCGAGGTAAGGGATCATGACGGAGTTGGTAGCGTTTTCCAATGGGGACTAGGGTCAGTAGAAGGACACTGCTCAGCTACACACTTACTCTAGAGACTGAAAAGCTCTAAACACACCAGGGGAGAGAAGAGTGGGGGAGCACGTCTCCAGGTTAGGATACATCAATCAGAGGACAACTTGTGCGAGACAAAAGCCAATCCACTAAATGGACTGAGTCACCCACCTACCCCCTCCCCGGGGTTGGATTCAAGAGGGTGGGAGGATGGCATGGTCAAAGAAGAAGGTCTTGAGATGGATCTTGAAGAAGGCAAGGGAAAGAGTGAGGCCGATGGAGTTCCAGAGGGTGGGGGCAGAAAGGCTGAAGGCCTGACCACCAATGGTGGGGTGAGCAGGGTGGTATGGTGTTAATAGGTAGGGAGGAGCAAGACTTTGGAGGGCTTTAAAAAATGCACCCCCCACCCACGTACCCCCCACCCACCCCACACCTTTCATACCGCTTTGGTATTTTTCCACAAGCATTTCAAAGATTATTGTGAACCGAGCTTTAACAATCAACTGTGCAAAGTGATTCCACATTAGGTATCTAAGGAAGGCTTCTCCACCATAGATGTGGTTAGCTCACACACGTGCAGCATTGAAAGTTGCGTCAAAACATCTGGTTGTCTCTGTGCAAACCAGGCCTCCACTGAACATGTGTGAAGGATGACAAGGATTGAGGAGACCTGGGTTTGAATCCAGTGTCTGGTACATAATAACTCTGAGGCTGCACAGTATGTGGGGAAACCTGATGAACTGAGAAAAACTAAACTCCATTCAAAGATGAACAGAAAAAGTCAAAGAAGGATAGAGAGAGAGAGAGAGAGAGAGTCCTTTACCTTTGAGCTAGGTGTGTTCCATCCCACTTACCATTGTATTTGCCTGTCTGTTTGTTCACTGAACTCTGGAGCAGAGTGAGCTTGCGCCTCATGGTACGCATTCCCTGCTTATACTGAGACTCCTGTGTGGAGAGGAGTTTCTGCATCTGACGAACGGCAGTCAGGACCTGCTGTTTGTTGGGGCAGCCCTGCAGGCACAGTGCACAGCTAGAATTACTGTCAGGCTTCACTCCCCATTCCCGTAGCGCAGTGGTTAGTGCATCGGTTCATGCGCCAAGTAGAGGGGAACAGAAGGGTATACGAAAGGGGAAAAGGTTGGCTACTTGTGTGCAGTAACACCGGCACGGACTAGTTAAGCTGAATGGCCTGTTTCTGTGCTGTATCGCTCTGTGTATACAGGCTTTGTGGAGTCCTGTAGAGCAGGGGTTAGGGTGCTCGCCTCGCAAGAGAGAGGACACAGGTTAGATTCCCAGCCCGGGAAAAACCTTAGGCAAGTTTGATTCCTCCATCCTCTGTTTACTTAGCAGTATGTAGGATCCTGGTTGTTAGTTGATTGATGGATCGCTTTCTGGGGATAATTAATCCCTCAAAAAAATAATTTGGTCACTAAATCCACGGCTCTTTGTGGGGACACTGCTGTGACCAATTGGCTGCCACGTTTCGCCCACAAAATACCCAGTCAATCCACTTTACAATATGTCCTGTGAAGCGCTTTGAGACGTCTCAACAATGTGATCAGGCGCTATATCTTATGCGAGAATGAATATTATTTGTCTAAAACACGCGTTTGTCCTGCAATAAACATGGATCTGATTATAACGCACCTGTAACATCTCAACAACAACAAGATTTCATCTATAGAGCGCCTTTCACGTCAGGAGGACGTCCCAAGGCGCTGGACAGTTGGGTCAGGACCCGAACTGGGGGGGAAATGGTCAGGGTGAGGGGAGGGAAGGGAGGGAGGGAGCGAGGAGGGGGTAGAGAGTCGAGAGGGGAGCTGAAAGCACGGTCGAAGAGAAAGGTCTTGAGACCGGCCTTGAAGGAGGAAAGGGAGGAGGCATTGGGGGATGGAATTCCAGAGCCTAGGGGCTAAGAGGCTGAAGGCCCGGCCACCGATGGTTGGGGCGGGGGATGTGGAGCAGACCGGAGCCAGAGGAATGGAGGGTACTGGTAAGTGGGGAATAGTAGGTCGGAGAGGTAGGAGGGAGCAAGGCCGTGAATGGCCTTGTAGGTGAAAACGTCTCAATGCGCATCACAGGTAAATGTAGTGATTATATTTTGTATATTCAGAATGTCGAATATTGAATATTGGGAACCAAACCAGGGGAGAGTCACGGGGAGACACAACAACTTGCTCGGAGTGTCAGAGTAATACAAAGTTGGTGGCATAGAGATGGCAGCCAGCCTGAGTTTGCAAATGCAGAGTGGGCTAGGGAGAAATGAGAGTAAATGAGGTGCTCGAGCATGAAGGAGGATGAAGATCCACAGTTCTTGCACATTTGTTCAGCTTCTACTTTAAAGGACCCATGAAGTTTGAAACCTCAATGTTGCTGTTATGTTACATGTATAAACTGTGCCACCTCGCCCCAAGCACCGAAAACTCTATTTCTGTGGCTATAAATGAACATGAATTGCTCCTTCAGAGCATCGGAGGGAACAGTACTTCCTTCACGTGTTTATCGTGCAATCTGCTGTTACACGATTTATACAAAATATATATTTTGCAGACGTGGGTTCCGACATTCCCGACTGGTCTGAATATAAGCAGTGTCCAACCAGCCGGATTTGACTGTTTTTTTGGTCGCTGCAAAACTTGTGCATTGGCAATATGATCTGAGAGTTGATTATTCAAAGCTAATCTCTGTTTTCGTTCCAAGTGGAAATGATCCAGTTAGTGAACAAATTCTAACTAAAAGGATAAAAAAGAAAGCATCGTCTCCATTTCTGGTACCGTTGATCGGAAGTAAAAAAAAACGAATGCTCCCAGCTGAGCTAAGAAAGCTTCATCTATGGGTATCTCAATCTCTGTCTTGTTCTGTGTGTATATACTTGTCACTCGGGCTCCATGTCCCTGACTCCTGCACTCTCACACATAAACATTTCTCATAACTTGCTTTGAAGAGTAAAAGCCAATGTTACTTCCTTAATCGGTTTATTTGCACCATTGCTATGCAAACAGCTCTTACATGTGTCCAAAGCCTCGTAAAACATGCGCCCCCAAATGCTCCAAGTTCTCCTGAATACGAGCAATGTCCAGAGATCCAGATTTTGCTGGTTTTGGCTCTTGGGAAATTTGTGCATTGCCAAAACCCCTTTGAAAGAGAATTACTTCAGACCCAAATGCTCAGCTTGCATTGCGTGCACTGAAGCCAGATGTCTTTATTTTTCCTGCTGATGTTCCGTTCTCCTTCGCTTAAGCATTCAACTCCACTAAAAAGGAATAAATGTGAATGGTTTAGTCACCATCCCACCACTCTGCTACCCTTACCACATTGCTAGTGCCTGACGCAAAGGCTCAATGGATGACCGCAAGGGCAGCATTACTCCCTCTTATTGTGTGGCTCACAGTGGGGTATGTCAAGACCAAATAACTCAGTGGGCATCAGTGGCGTGTACTTTTGATGCTTGTCACATAGGATGTGAAGGACATGACACCTCTCAATGGTGACATCTATGAAAACTGCTTCATGGTTAGCACTAATGACACGAGGAAGTGTCCATTCAGTGTCCATTCAATGATAGACCAGGACCAGCCCCCCTCCACCTCTCTCACATTGCCTGCCTCTGATCATCCCTCACACCCAATGCAGCCGAGATCTTCATCCATACCTTCGTCACCTCCCACCTCAACTATTCCAAAACTCTCCTCGCTGGTCTCAGAACTCCGCTGCCCATACACTCACCCGTGTAGGTGGTGATAATACGAGTGGCAGAGTTCTGAACTAGTTACTCCGTACTCCCATTACACCAGTCCATACCAGTCTAAAGCCTCATAAAACATGCACCCCCAAATGTTCCAATTTGCTCCCTATTACAGAACAGATGGACTTGAAGATCCTCTCACTCGTCTACAAAATACACAGCCCACAAAATACATAGTCAATCTACTTCACAGTATATTCTGTGAAGCACTTTGAGACATCTCAACGATGTGATAATCCACACAATAAGCGTAATCCCTCAAACAAAAATTGGTCACTCAATCAACTGATAATGATAAATTGTTTCAAAGTGTTTGTGGGACATTGCTGAGTGCAATTGGCTGCCGTGTTTCTCCCACAAAATACACAGTATATTCTGTTAAGCGCTATGAGACGTCTCAACAACACAATAAGGCACTAAATTAAATGCAAGGATTATTATTATTGTAGTAACTTTTACCTTAAATTTTCACACGTGCTGATTATCAGCTGTAAACCATGCCTTTCCGGTTTATCAGTTAGCAGTATTTGGTTGTTGGTGGGACCCTCTTGCCCCAGGGCCATTAAAGTTCGGCTGCCACATAGTCAGTCACTGAGCGTTGCAAGGTATGATTGAGTGGCTCTGGAGAATCTCTGAATTAATCTATTTGAGCTGAAAAGTATCCTTAACCAAACAGACAAAACACTAAATGCTGAGAAGGAATGTTCAGAACAAATATTTTGCTGCTAGCCTTCCTTTTAACTAACGTGTCCAGGCACCAAAACAAACCGCGTGACAGGGCATGTTGAATACCTTCTTATCCCCTTGTTATGTAATGGGCCCATCTCGCCATCATTTTGTAATTGGGTCAAGCATCACAGCAGAATAATGAATATTTTGATTTCCTGCATAAAACGCTGCAGCTGGGCAAACTAAATATTTGCACAAGAGGCTTCCAAAAGGGTCTTTTGAGGTGGTTCCAAGAAAGGACAAGGCGCATGCCACATGAAAGCCCAAACTGGCACAGGAACCACATGCTGATCACACGCACGGCACATCAGAGCTGGGCATCTTTGGCGCAGGAGACTTCAATGACCACAGAACCAACTTCTAAACCCACATTAGACAAGCACTCCATTTGCTTTTGGACTATGTTGGAATTATCACCTCACCCACCCACCCAGCCAGCACAGCATGGTCACCCAACCACATGATAATAATAATCCTTACATTTCATAGAGCACCGATAATGACAAACCATTTCAACGTGTTTCACAGGGTGCGTCTGTGTATTTGAACACTGGAGTCCTGTAGCATATTGGTTAGAGCACTCGCATCACAAACAAGAAGACCCAGCTTCGATTCCTTGGCAGAGCAAAACCTTAGGCAAGTTTCCTGACTCCACATGCCTTTGTTTAACTAGCAGTTCGTAGGATTGTTGTTAGTTGATTGGTGGATCGCTTTACGGATGTAATAACCGCTTAAAAAAAAACAATAATTTGCTTGCTCAATCCACGACTGTTTGTTGGACACTGCTGTGTGCAATTGGCTACCGCTTTTTGCCCTCAGAATATACAGCCAATTCATTTTACAGCACATTCTGTGAGCCACTTTGAAATGTCTCAATGATGTGATAAGGCGCTATATCCTGTGCATGGAGTTCTGTAGGTCAGTGGTTAGAGCACTCGCCTCGCAAGCGAGAGATCTGGGTTTGATTCCCAGCAGGATGAAACCTTATGTAAGTTTCCTTACTCCACACCTTATAATAATCCCTCAAGAAAAAAATTAATAAAATTGCTTATTTCAATCCACGACTGTTTGTGGGACACTGCTGTGTGCAATTGGCTGCCGCATTTCGCCCACAAATATACAGTTAATTCACTTTACAGTATATTCTGTGAAGTGCTTTGAGACGTCTAGAAGACTTGAAAAACTCTATATCAAATGCAAGATTAATAATAATAATAATAATCCTTGCATTTGATATAGCGCTTTTCACGTCGGGAGGACGTCCCAAAGCGCTTCACAGAATATACTGTAAAGTGAATTGACTGTATATTTGTGGGCGAACGCGGCAGCCAATTGCGCACAGCAGTGTCCCACAAACAGTCGTAGATTGAAAATGACCAATTTATTATTGTTTTGGGTTTTGGAGGGATTATTATTAGGCGTGTGGAGTAAGGAAACTTGCCCAAGGTTTCGCCCTGCCTGGAATTGAACTCAGGTCTCTCGCTTGCAAAGCGAGTGCTCTAACCACTGAGCTACAGGACTCCACGATTATTATTAT